CCCCCCCAACTTCCCAACCCCACTAGACAAACACAATTTTTTTCAGCAAAGCTAAAAATAACCAAGGACAGTGTTAAACATTCTGACAGCCAACAACTCTGGCAGAAAGTGTAACAGTTTATTTTTACAAGCACTTGGTAATAAATAATATGTCCTGGACTTTGTACCCAACGTATGTGAAATCCGAAAATGGGTAAAGATAAAGCTTTCTTTGGTTATGTAAGGCCACTGTCCTACGACCACATACGTTTGCACAACTACTCTTTTGACAGACAACGATATTTATGGCTGTTAAGTCAACAATTGACATCGACGTAGACTGTATCGCGAAAAAAACATGTAACTTTTTAAAAAGTGGAACAGTACGCTGTGCTTATTTATCACATCCCCCCAAAAAAGGACATTCATAATAGTCCTAAAGTGAGATGAAAATAGCTCACCAATGAACCACTATTATTTCATTTTGAAAAAGTGAAATGGTATATGTTTAACGTCTCTATCTACACTATTTGGTGGTTATTTAAGAGGCAGGACCTCCGAGTTTATAATGTCCATTTCCGAAAGGACCGAGCCATATGGGGCATAAGTGTAAAGTGTTTTTCCCAAGGACACAACGTCGGACCGAGCTAACGCTCGAACCCCCGAACCCGCAAGCTCACGATTACGGATCCGGTAGCCTAACCACTAAGCCATTGACGCCACTGATTTAGTCTGTATGCATATTATTTTGATGAGGACGATTTAAACGAATGACGATTTTGGACTGGAGTCTGAGTTGTTAGAATGAACAATTTTCTTTACAAAGCACTTATTATGCACAATCCCCACGTTTGCCGGCTGCCCTCTCCCTAAACACCCACCCAACACCCATTAGATCCTCTAACTCCTTCAATCAAACCGCATGTGCCAGCAGAATGTGAACTATAACTACGTAAGCTAAATGCCATGGCGTAAAAAAAAACAACCCAGAAAGTGTGGCACATTATGTGGCGTCATTGTTTTCATTAGGGAAAGTCAAAATCAGTTAAAGTTAATGCCCCCACCCCCCTCCCCACCAAATCACCTTTTCACCCGCACCAACCCCAACCCCTTTTCGCCTCACGATCACCACCCAATTCCCGAACCATTCTTGAAAAAAGTTTAAACTTCTTTCGCTTATGACATAACAGTGTTCACAAAGTGGCCCCACTGAGAGTAGAGTCCCCGGACACGCACGCACTAGGTCAAGTACGTTCTGAATTTAATACAAGACTAGACCAAAGTTTGCTTTGATCCAAAATCGTTTTATTAGAGAACGAGTCGGGTTCTTCGACCTCTCTTTGATGAAGGAAACAACGAAACACACTTTTATTGTGTAATATTATTACTTCATACATTGTTGAATCCAAATACATTTTCTGAAATACAGATACCGGACCACAAGTGGATTATTTATTCATTTATCTATTTATCTATGTATCTATCTATTTTATTTATTTATTTGTTTATTCTTTATTTGTTCATTAAAAAAAAAATTATTCAGATGAAAGGCAAACACTGCACATTGACATAATTAGCTGATGCTTAGCGACACGAATATTAAAGT